CCCCCCCCAAAAAAAAAAAGTGCAGTGTATGGACTAGCAATATTTGATCCTTCCGGTCTTGGACAGGTGGGAACACTCCGATGACTGTGAATTAACGCATTTGGAAAGTTTCCCCACAGCACTGCCTTGGAACCAGATGCGCACAGCCGTGCTGCCTCAGGAGAAGCTGTCCCCTCCCGAGAGCCGCTGCGACTGCAGGTGAGGCGGCTCCCGCGCCCACCACCCACCGGCACCACAGCCCAGCGGCGGCACTGCCCAGGCCGAGCAGATCCTAAAGCCCAGAGTCTTAGGCCCCAACAGTGCTCTAATACTGGTGCAAAAAAGAAATGGGAGATAACAAGAGGCCTCATTAATAAACAAAGTAAAGGAAAAGTCATAATTTCTTTAGTTTTACCTAAGCTAGCAACTTAAATGTTTTCTTCACCTCTTACACGACTGAGAAACAAAGGAAAAAGATTTCATTGCACCTCTGAAGAACAGCGGGTTTTGTGTGGCTTGCTCAGCAAAAGTAAGGGAGGTACCTCACTGAGTGCAGTGTTACCACATGCTCATCAATACAGCAGTAGAGCGCTTTCCATGAGGGTACTGAGAAGTATCTGTCCTATGTTAACTTGCTCCCTACAGAAAAAAAAAAGAAATGCATGCATGTGAACGTGAGCGAGGAAGTACAGTCATTTGGAGGCTTGTTTAGGGCTCTATTTAGCATATAATAGCGTATTTCTATATAGTAGAAAAGTCAAAACCAAAACAAACCATCCACAAAGCCTCACTATATTCTTACTCTCATTCATATTTTTATTATCCATACTCATTATTTCTGCCACACAAACTAAGATTTTTTCTATGCTCAAGATTATCACTGATGCAGAAATTGATGCAAATTTCAATTTCTATACTTCATAGTCAACATGAGCCCATTTATCACTGTTCAGAGTTTACTAAATAAGGTCAAAACTCAGCAGTGTGAAGTTCCTCACTCTCCACCATGCGTGTATTTCAATACACATCTTGAGCAACATTTGCTCTGACCACAAACGTTTAACAAATTTGAAATGCTTTGCCCTGTTATTTGAAAGACTGAATTAAAATCTTGCCCAGAAACTGCAATCAAGTCTGGACACTGAGCAAAACCAACCTCCTCATCTGCTCCTCTGTGCAAATCCTGGCAATCCAGTGTTTTCCTGTATGCTGGACTCCAAAACAATCATGACCAATGGCTGTTTGACAAAGCCTCACGTCCTACTGTTTAAAACAACTTCAAGTGAATACGGTGCTATACCACCTACCCCAGAGATGGTACCCTGTACTTACCATCCAGTGGATCGAACCTTTTCAAAACACTTACTCATTTGTGGGTCGTTTCAAAATAGTTACTTAAACACTGCCATTGACAGAAGTAGGGTATATGACTACCCCAATTTACAGCATACTCTGTAAAAATGCATCTCCATCTTTTTGTCACAGACTTAGACAAGACACTTAGCTTTAAGAAAACATATCTGACTTATTTCAGTCATTCTGGGAATAACTGTCAATATCTGATTTATTTTGGTTTGCAGTAAGATGCATCAAAACAGATGTAGCCCATCTGATTATACACTTCTCTCAACCAGACCTAAACCCATAAAAATAAAACTTTCGAAACTGGTATCATAAATGTGGAACGCTCATTTTATAGAAAGAGTTAAGTGCAAGAGAGATTGATCTGAGGTTTATTTGTTTTAATTAAAGTATTTTCTGGTTTTAAAACTTGAAAGTCAGTCTCCACATTCCTACATCTTAGGACACCAATACCAACATAGTGCATATGACTGATACGGTGTACACACTGTCAGCTCAGGTATTGAACGCAGAAGTTTAACATCCATTTGCTCCCGATATAATCGGATGAAACAGGCAGATATTGTTCATGCCAGCAAGCACATTTGCTTCCCCAGCCTTTAAAGAAGGCACTGTTTCTGTTTCATAGCAGTAGAAAAAGGTGCCTGTCTACATCAAAAATAGCCTTGAGTAGCTATAACAAAGCACTACAATACAAATAGCCTATACAGAGGTATACAGATTGTTCTAATAGGCTCTGGAACCAAAACAGAAAATTAGGAACTTGCAACCAGTCTCTGCATCTTTGCATTTTCTCTTCCTGTTGCCAGTGTCTCTTGTCCTTAGCCTCCACTTCCCCTCAGAAAATAGCCATATTTTGGCAAATATACCATTACACTCAACAGAGGTACTAAAGCTCCTGCACTGCCCTCCTTCCAGATGCTATAAATGAAGTATTCTCACCCCCTTCCATTGCAATGCAGCAGGTATCTGTAGGAAAGAAGGAACAGCAGCTACCCCAGACATTTCTGACTCACCTCAGCCCTCCTCTCAAGGCTTTAAGTAAAGCAACTGGAAGCAACATCTGCCACCTTCTCACAGACAAGTCAGTCATAAGTGGTATTCGGGAAGCAGACTGATGTGGAAAATGCAGAAGTCTGCTAAAACTGCTACTGAAAGGAGTGCAGTTGAAATGGTCACAATTTGAATAGAATGCCTAACAAAACAGAACCACTTCAAGTCCAGTGTTTCAGGTTGTCACAGTAATACAAGTGCTAACATTATATGTATAAGCAATACAATTCTGTATTACATTCTTCCACTATCCAAAACAACAGATGCACGACTACAAAGCACAGTGTCACGCTTCATGTCACTTTACAACACTTGCAGCCTCACCAGGATGGTCCCTTTTTTGAGAATCTTTAATCACACCAGTATTCATAAAATACTGGTCAATGTCAACAGAGTACAAATTAAAAAGAAAAAAAAGCTCAAAAAAAAAATTCCCATATAAATAACAATGTTTTTGATTTAGAATATGCTTTACAGCTACACTGTAAGATTACTAGAAGAAGTAAGTCATATTCATTGATGGGACAATTTATCACAGGATTAATTTACCACTACACTACAATACCACACTACAGGTTTATAATTTCTCCAATTACCTTGTTTGTTCAGCCCAAACAAATGTTTCAAAATAGTCTGAAAATAATCAACATACATTACGTAATGTTAAAAAGAATGTTCTGCACAACATAAAACCTTCCTCTATGCGTCCAGGTGGAGGTTTTCCAAATTGGATGTCTGAATTAGAGTATCTAAATTCACTTAGTTTCAGATGTGCCAATGTGCCAAACACTATGAACAATAAGAAAAGAGGAAAGCATATAACTATTACCATATAATATGTAACCTTTTCGCTTTGGTGGAGAACAGAAAGGTAAGTTAACAGGTGTTGACTAAATGGAGCTACTGAAGTTCTTTGAAAACCCACTGTCTAGATGCAGTACATACTTCCAGACAAATATTCCATTTCATTATGAGTAACTTTAAATCCAGTACTAAAAGCATGTTTTAAGATTCGGTCCACAATATTTCACAGAAAGCAAAAATGACAACTTGGTATAAAATTATATAAAACTAACCATATTTGTTATAATACTATACTTTTCAAAAAACAGTAATTAATATATCCAATCTTTTACCAATTCTATAGGTCTTCTGAGTGAAACAGAAAAACGTCTACTTAACAATATATTGAAGAGAACTAAGAAGTTCCTTTTTTTTTTTTTTTTGTTAAGAATCTTGCGTTGTTCCTTGAATTAGGTGCCGAATCTTCTCAGCATCTTTTTCTATAGTTTTATTTTTAGGATCAATCTTGAGAGCCGCTTCATAATCCTGGAGGCCTAATAAGGATACATTAATAAGAATGTCAATTAATAATGCAAGAGTATCCTTTTTAGCAACTAACTGGAAATAACTGCTCCCTAGTCGTGTGCATAAAGTATTGAGCTTCAGTTTTGCTATTGAGCAAGATGGAATCAGAACGACATTAGGCTTAACTTTTGACAGTAAATAAATCTATATTTTGTTTATATTATTTTACAAAACATTTTAGTGGAAACACTCTACTACATAAACTTTTTCAGGTATTGAAACATGAAAGCAGAGCCTCTTCATTCAAATACATATGTGCATATATACATACATTTCTATATATGCACACATGCATGAGGGGAGTGTTCAAGTGTTCTGCAGAAGAGAGAAAAATTGAATGACAAAACGGAAGTGCATGAAAACAAGAAAAAAAAAAAGGACATGAACTGTGAATACTGGATCTTGGAGGGGGGAAAAGCAAACCATGAGTACAGGAAGTAAACTAAGATCTTGTTAATTGTCTTTTTTATAAGGTTTCCAAGTGCAAATGAAGCTATAAACAAAGGGATTCATAGGTGGAAAAAGGTAACCAATGTGAAAAGCTTAGTATTTCAACACTGACATTTTGAATACTCTTCACTTTCTATTGTCATCTTTCACTCATAAATTTGCCTTACAAAACTAAACTGATACTCTTAGAGAACTGAGTAGGGACACTGTTAATTCAGATATTTTCACACAAATCACACATACTTGATGAAACATTTTGCTCATCAGTAGGGGTTTCGTGCATCATTTTACAAAGATATGTTACTAAGCACTTCACAAGAAAGTATTTTAGAAATACTTCAGGTTATTTTAAGTTAATTTGTTCTATAGCTGGCAATACTGTAAATATAATCTCAAAACCAATAAAACATCAACTCACGAACAGAAAAACTAGTGCAACCTAGTTTCATGTCAGTTTGCATCCTACATCTGAATGCTTCCCAAAGCAAATACCTCAACTCTGATCTCTCATTTGTTCCTCACTAACACCTTCCGTGGCCACCGAGCTGCTATGGTCAACAGCTGGCCATCATGCACAGAAAGACTCATTACCCAATAGACCAAACAGAGGATACGCAACTTGCTAAAACCTTTTCCTCAAAGGAGAAACTAATTTGTACTCCTTAAATTAGGAGTACAATCAATTTTCTCAAAACTTGTGAAGATTTTTCAAGCAGAATTGCAATTAGCCAGTAAAGTTAAAAAAATATAAATATATATTAAGTAATGCAGTATAAAGCTTCATAACAAAAAGAGACATAGATTGTATAGGCCTCCTTTCAAATCCCTCCTGAAAAAACAGAGGTGTGAGCAGTCTCACTGAGCTAAACAGAATTACTTGCATGTCACTATAAATCCATGTACATGTTTTGACAAAATCAAGGTCTTACCTTCAGTATATAATTCCAGCTGACAAAACGCTGTTCCGCGTCTCACATATGCTTTTACTCGAGCATTCTCGTTATCAGGAACAGGTGGTGTCAGCAGTTCTAGTGCCTTTACAAATTAAAACACCCAAAATATTTAGAGGTAGATTGTCCATAATTTTGCGGGTTTTTTTCTCATTTACACACACTTCTCTCACCTAATTACTATTATTACAGAGTAACAAAATATTTAAATAGAAATAGAAAATAACTATTCAAATTTAACTATATGGCTTGTGAAGCCAGTCATTAAGATTTGTACCTGTCACCCCACAGTTTGCTAAACACAGTTCCATTGCCATGGCTAAAACCCAACAAATACTGTGTTAAGTGTTTATTACAGGCAAATAATGTATTCTATTGTCATACATGATATTACATATCATGCTACAAAAAAAAAAAAAAGCAGCCCGAAAAAAGCATATGTGGTGTAGCAGTAGTTACGAGAAAAAACAAGTTTCAAGTCTCAAGTACTTATTAGTTCATGTAAAGAAACATGTACTGACTCATCATATGGCCATTTGGCCCAAATGGGTGGAAGCATGGTTTGGGGTATTTTTGTTGTTGCTTTGTTTTGTTTTAAATTTCTGAAAGTTCATTAATCAATCACTATCAATTTTTAATATTTCACCATGGCTTCATTATACCAATTTTGAATTTTCAAATTTTGAATGATTTACAGACCTGCTTGAAACAGAAGCATTACAATAATAAATCACAATCATGTATAAGATGACAGTTTGAGGACCTAAATATTTATACCTTAGAGGAATCTTCAATAGCTTTATGTAAATTTCTCAGTTTAAGGTGGCAAGCAGCACGATTCAGATACAGTAGGGGAAGCTTATTGTTTAGCCGCACTGCGAGGTTATATGCATTTACAGCTGCAAGATAGTTTCCCGTTGCAAACATTTTGCTATGTATAAAACAGAAAGTGAAACACGTACTTTAAACACAGTGACACATCACAAAGTACATACCTACTTATTGTGAACAATTCCTTCTCAAAAATTTGAAGTTTTAGCAGCTTTAGCTTGGAAATGGCCATTTACAGCCTTTCTTGAGAACAAGTTCAGTCAAACGTGATACCGACAATACAGCATATAAACACATAACTTAACAAAAATAGTCACTGCTTAAAGGCAATGAAGAACAGTAAGAGGTGGACACAACTAATTTTGAAAGGACTAATTTTGAAAGCTATATATCTCATAATGATTGCCTGATCAAACCTTTCTGTATAACACAGCTATATAAACATACCGATATTTTTATCAAATTCCTAAAGTTTGTTTCAGACAGATGTTTAATCTCTCAATGAGGAGTACAAATGAAAGGAAATCCATCTAGCTATAATATTGCACTGACTTAACTGTCCTCACAGAAGAATATGCATTATGTGTTCACAGTGATTTTGTTCATAATGAGTTTCAGCAATTGCACCTCATCACTTTATCGGATTCAAACCCTATAAGCTGTCAATAAATTACTACGTAGACATTCACCATCTGTGTCAAGGATAAATCACAAATACCAAAACTAAACAATAGACATACACTATGTAACTAATATTTCATTTTAAATACATCTTCAAATGAAATCTAACTTACTTTCCTTTGTCCTTTAACCAATCTGGATTCTTCTCCTCTTCTTTTAAATCTTCCAACTCAGACAAATCAGCATTTACTGTTCTTCGAGCTTCTGCTTGTTTACGTAGCCACTGTAAATATACAACATGCAAGTGTTATTTCTGAAAGAAAATTCAAATCCAAAAAATTATTTTGCTTTCATCTATTCACTCACTCCTATCAAAAGAATTCTATTTGCCACATATTTTGGACAGAGAAATATTTAATAATGTCAGATATGAAACACTTCCAAGTTTCCCCACATATTTTATTTCTATGTGAGAAGTAAGGTTACCGCATCATTAATACCTTTTGGTTTGCTTGTTTGTTTTGGAACTTTCAGAAAGACTCTTTGTGTTCATTCAATAAAGCTTAAAAGAGCTCACTGTGAGCTGCTTTTTAAGAAGGCAGAACTTAAAGAATCTTAAATATATGAGTAAAGACATTTCAAATTTTGTAGTTCAAGGAATTAAATTCATATTGCTGGCTTTTTTTTTCCTCCCAAAAGAAGGAACATGCTATTTATTAATCTGCACAATCACATGCTTGGTGAAAATAATTTTTATATAAAAGTGTTTCCTTATATCTTAAAGAAGGCTGCCCTCCTTGGCAGATAAGATTATTGCACAGGTAACATTCCTTAGTACAGGTAACATTTTTGTCAACTTACCAAATAAACGGTAACTAATTCAGCACCTTGGAAGACAGTAGAAGCACCATACTGAACCAGAGAGCAGTCCTTACCTCCTCCTCTTCCGCAATGCGAGATTCTCGCAGAGCTGTAGGAAAAACTCGCGATGTAAAGTTGATTTTAATAGTAGCAGCAGATCGAGGAGCTGGCAACTGTTCTTCCTTTAAATTTTCTGAAAACATACTATAGGAGCCATGACCTATGAAGAGAATTGGAGTACTGGAAATGAAAAATTAAGCGAAAGGGATTTTTCTGGCTTACTACCAAAGTCCAAAGTACACCTAATTTAGAAATGCTGCACATTAGAACTAAACCTCTAATATCTTGAGAAAGATTTAGATTTGTTCTTTTGAAGGGAAAATTAAAAAAAAAAAAAATCTGTTCTTGCTGTATCATGCCATCTATTTACTGGCTACATTGCCTGTCAGAAATGAAATATTTTCTGTTGGTTTAGTTCTCTGAAATGGCTCTCTGTGGAGCCAAGACATGGGATAGAGAAAGGAGATTGCCTATTTCTATGAAAAACAGCAGTTAGGTAACTTAAGGTAACATGAACTCCGCCCTCAGAAAGTCTGCATTACACTGTCAGAAAGGCTTTCTGTTTTACTTTTCTACAGCTTAGAACAAAACCTGCCCATGTATTTCCAAAGACTTAAACAACAGCTACGAACTCACATGCTTTAGCTCAATAAATTGCCTGAAAATAAAGAGACTAAAATAACTGCAAACTAAAAGAATTAATTCAGTATGGTAGAGACAAAGGTAAATGATGAACTAGAAACACCCAGGAATAAAGTTATACCCACACTTCAAAGAATGATAAAATACACTCCAATAATACAACCTTTAGTAGGTTTGAGTCTGGGCTTAGAAGTTCCTTCATTAGGAATCCCAGTTTTGTTCATTTTTTCCTTTTTCTTCTCCTTTAATTGCTCTACTTCTTGATGTAGTTTCCCTTCTTTTTGTACCCTCTTTTGTTTCTCAGCATCTTTTTGCTGTTTTTTCCATAACTCCAATTCCTTAGTGA